TGTGTGAGTGTGTGAGTGTGTGTGTGTGTGTGTGTGTGTGTGTGTGTGTCTGTGAGTGAGTGTGTGTGTGTGTGTGTGTGTGCGTCTGTGAATGTGTATGTGTGAGTGAGTGTGTGTGTGTGTGTGTGTGTCTGTGAGTGTGTGAGTGAGTGTGTGTGTGTCTGTGAGTGAGTGTGTGTGTGTGCGTCTGTGAGTGTGTATGTTTGTGTGAGTGTGTGTGTGTTCATGTCACCTGTATGAATGTCTCTGTATGGCTGACTGCTCTCTGTTGTGTTTTAGACTCTTAAATATGCCTTCCAGACCCCTGACCGGCTGTGTTTTGTGATGGAGTATGCTAATGGAGGAGAGGTAAGAGCGTTTTTTTTGTATAGTAATAAAAATCATTTAGTTCAGTTAGAGGACCGACATTACAATTAAAAACTGAACGCGGCTGCTCAATGAAGCGTGCCAACCGACAGTCGCATCGCAGATCAGATTTCATTTATCACGTGAGGAGAGCGAGTCGAGCTGACTGACGAGAAGAGTGAGGTGAGACAGACAAGACGATGGCGGATGATTTAGTTTCGAAACGAGATGCTAAAGAGCCTGTTTGGCAGTATTTGGGATTTTGAAAAGCCTGTTGACTTCTGCCGTTTATCTAAGGAGATTTTGGAAGTTTTTTTAAACATTCGTTTCTTATTTAATTGGTTCCACAATGTTTGCTGATTTTTAAACTTTGTGTTGTTTATTTTTATTTGACATCAAGGTGCATGCCGTGCCTCCAAGCTTTCTTATTCGTTTTGCTAATACACAGTCCACATTTCTTATTTATTTGGTTCCACAGTGTTTGCTGATTTTCAGTTTTGTATTCAAACTTTGTGTAAGTTATTCTGTATTAGGCATAGCCTACAGAATGATGTATTTAGATTTTTTTTTTGTTAATAAAAGTTCTGTGATTTATATAGGCTAAGTTGAGTTTGAAGTATTTTGTTGTTGCTTGAATTGCCGCTAGTTTGATGTCGATTAACACTAGTGAGCGTGTGTTTCAGTCAGACGCTGCTGTTTTCTCTCTCGTGTGGTTCTGACGTGTCTCTCGCCCGCAGCTGTTCTTCCATCTGTCCCGTGAGCGTGTCTTCTCTGAGGACAGAGCGCGCTTCTACGGCGCTGAGATCGTCTCCGCTCTCGACTATCTGCACTCACAGAACGTCGTCTACAGGGACCTGAAGGTCAGACGCGCACCAACATTTTATTTAGCATTTTTCATCGCAGTTTATATTTTTTGGTACATATAAATTGTTTGAATTCCTTGAAAGTTGCTACATATTGCATAGTTTCTTACATCATTGCAACACATGTTAGAAATGTCCTCATTATGTCAACGCAAGTCACCTTTATTTCTGCACTAGGGCTGTCAAGCGATTAAAAAGAGTTAATCTAATTAATTACATGACGTGCCGAATAATTAATCTAATTAACTGCACATCAGTTTGGGCTGAGGAATAAGATAATTTATTCATTATTGTGTTAAATGAGAAAAGCATTAAATAGATATTACAAAGAAGTAGCTTTAGAAGAAATATTTTGATTGAACATTGCATAAATAATATGAAATCTGTATTTTATTTTATTTTTTTAGAGAATTGAATATTGAAATATGAAATAATTTTTTTTAATGAAATTAATCTCTAATTATGAAACTAAAAGCAACAGTAGGTGCAATGAGTCACTGTCTTAATGAGTGAGTCATTGAATCATTCATTCAACTGATTCATTTAGAAATGAAGCAATTGGTTGTTTTTTATGAATGAGTCACTGAATCATTGATTCACTCCATTCGTTCAAACACATGGATTCATTTAGTAGTGAATCACTGCTGTGTGCTGATCAGAGACGCTCAACAGTTCTGCTGTGGTTTTGATTAGAACTATTTTCAAATGTGACCCTGGAGCACAAAAGCAGTGTTAAGTCGCTGGGGTATATTTGTAGCAATAGCCAACAATACATTGTATGGGTCAAAATTATACATTTCTCTTTTATGCCAAAAATCATTAGGATATTAAGTAAAGATCATGTTCCATGAAGATATTTTGTAAATGTCCTACCGTAAATATATCAAAACTTAATTTGTGATTAGTAATATGCATTGCTAAGAACTTAATTTGAACAACTTTAAAGATGATTTTCTCAATATTTAGATTTTTTTGCACCCTCAGATTCCAGATTTTCAAATAGTTGTATCTCGACCAAATATTGTCCTATCCTAACAAACCATACATCAATGGAAAGATTATTTATTCAGCCTTCAGATGATGTATAAATCTGGTTTTGTGCTCCACGGTCACATAT